AACGTTGCTAGAGGCCACGCAAAAATGGACCTCGAGTTATGCTTGGCGAAGCATACTCCAAGGCAACAAGTTGTTGAAGAATGGTTTGAGATGGAACATTGGCAATGGAGAGATTGTTTATGTTTGGAAAGATCAGTGGCTTCCTACATATCCGCCTGTTTCACCAATGCCTAGAAAAGCCATAGAGGATCCTAACTTGAAGGTAAAAAATCTCTTTTTACCTGGTTCAACATCTTGGGACAGCGAGAAATTGACAGCTTTAATCCATCCAAAAAATATTCCCCTAATTTTGCAACTTAGAACATCAATTACAGGGGTACAGGACAGCGCCACTTGGATGCATACTTCTCATGGAGCTTATACAGTGAAGTCAGGCTATCATTATCTCCGAAATTTAAAGGGTCAGTCTTCAAGTATGCAAGTCTCTTTGTTTAAAGATCTATGGAAGAATAAATTGCCACCAAAGATTTTACATTTTTGGTGGAGAGTCCTTCATAATGCTCTACCCGTAGCTAAGAGCCTGAGCCAAAAGAGGATCCTTAGTGACAGTACATGCTCTGTATGTGGAGAAAGGGAAGAAACTGTCAGTCACATGCTTTTTCAATGTAGACTTAGTCGAGAAATTTGGGCTCTAGCTCCTTTGAGCAATATCTCGTATGAATCTCTGCTTTCCAATGAATTGACTGATATTTACTCTGCTTTTATAGCAGCAAACGCAGACGATCCAGAGCGATTGATGTTCTTTTATTTTCTGGGTTGGAGAATATGGAAACAAAGAAATGAGGTAATCTTCAGTAATAAACGATGGCCTATCCCCTTGATTATTAGTAAGGCTCTGCAAGAAATGAATTTGTGGAAGGAAGTAACAGAAGAACAAACTGCAGACAGTGTTAATAGGTCATCTGATAGGGGTTTAGGAAACCAGGACTGTGTGCCACGGACCTTGCAGGATATCAGGGATAAAGTTCATCAAAAATTCTGCTTGGTGGATGCATCTTGGGTTTCTCCTACTGCAAATATAGGAATTGGATGGAGCTTACAGGACACTAATCTCAGACAGTTGATCCAGGGTTCAGGATCCTTTCCTGCATTGCAATCTTCAGAGAGTGCAGAGGTTGAAGCATTGAGAGTATGTGTTGTGGAATTGAAACGACTTGGCTATTGCAATGTTACCATTTGTGGAGATCTTAAGAAGCTATATGGTATGTTGCAAAGAGAGGAACTAGATATGAAAGAGGAGCATATTCGCAACCTTCCTTATATTGTTCAGTTGCAAGATATCATGGCCATATCCAAAATTGTAACTTTTCTTTTCTCAATGTTTCACGTCAAGCTAATGTTTTAGCCGATCAATTAGCTAAATCCTCTAGATCGCATTCTCAAGGTTATGTAATCACATGGCCAGTGTAAAGTCTTTCATCTAAATAAGATAAGTTGCCGTCAAAAAAAAAAAAAGCATTGGTAAATGATATGTTCAACAAATAATTTCTGATTATTATGTTGTATAATTAAGTATCAGTCAAAATGGGCATTTGGTCTAGTGGTATGATTCTCGCTTAGGGTGCGAGAGGTCCCGAGTTCAATTCTCGGAATGCCCCCACTTTACCTTTTCTCACTTCATTTTTGCACCCAACTATGAAACTTTAGTTTGTTCATGATTTGTTTTTACAGATATTGATGGGTTCGTGGAGAAATAGTGACGTACTGATATTAGATTTTTCAAAATTAGAGGAAAGCTCATCAAAGCTGATGGTAATCTTGAGAGACATAAAGCTCGCA